TTGTGTAACAGGAGATACAAGCATACATTTTTTACTTAGTTTTGTCTACCTATATTATTCATTTAATTTTCAGTTCTCTTTTTATATGCTTAATGATTTTGAATGTTTTCACTGAACTCCTCACACATGTAGTAGAATCCAATGTAATAGGAAAAAAATAAAAATAAATAAAAAAGGTGTATTTGACAAAACCAGAATGATAATGGCAACTCTATCTCAGCAGGAGGCCCTGCTGCCAGGTGCACAGCACCCAGCAAGTGGAAGCTCACACTGCAGGAAGGGCACTCTGGAGACCACGTGCCCCTGCTGCAGCCCAAGGGCTACTTACTCTTGCAGGAACCAGACTACTCATAAAGAAGAGTAACTGGCTATAACCACATTATGTTTGTGCTTGGACCGGGGGAAGAGTGGTTTTATTTGTTTGGGGGTTTTCAGGAAGGTCTGAATATCTGCTGCAGCAACAGTTATCACTGAAAATTCATCGTTTGAAGATGGAAAAGCTGCGTCTTACACAGTCACACATTAAAGTGAAAACAGGTTTGTTTTCTTTTTTTTATTGAACTCTAAACATAATCCCCACAAGTAACTGAGCTCTCTAAATTAAAAGGTTCTGGCTTTCCTCTCAGCCAGGAGTGTGTATCTGACTGGTGGCAGCTGCTGCAATGGTGTGCACGTGTGCACACACACAAGTCAGTATGGTGGGGGGAAAAGAGCTCATAATTGGGTCCCACTGATTCAGCGTGTGAGCTTTTCCAACCTTGAGCAAGATCTCCACAGGAGACACCCACCACAGAGCCAGATCTGTGGACTTCTGTGCCACAGAAGTAGTGGTTCTTTGCTGCTTAACAGAACTCGGTGAGATTAAGATAAAATGCTTCCTCCCCACAGGGTTCTTTTAATAAAACAAGAATTTTGCATGTGACAATAGACTGTCAAACCATTTATTTCTTCTTGCTATTTCTTTTGGTAAATGAATAGAATTATTTTAGTTTTAAAAAACCTATGCTACTCATGAAAGCAATGAGTACACTGCAGTTAGATGGCAACTTCTTATATATTTGCAGTCAGTGAAAAAAACTTTTAGCTGAATATCTCTCCCATCACTAAAGAACACCAAGAAGACTGTCTTATTTTCACCCCACAGTTTATTCTCAGCACTGCATGTAAATCTCCTGTTCACAACAGGATCACAATGTGTCCCATAGGAGAGCCCAATAAGCAATGTGGTATGCCATATCTCAGAAGAAAATTTACATGGTTTATAAAACAGCAGAAAAAGGCATCCCTACTCTGCAAGCAGTGACAACACACATCTCAGACGTCCTGGTGGGAGGAACAGAGGGAGCAGCTGGCCCAGGCACTGCAAGTGGGAGATCGTGCCTCCCTCAATGTGACAGGACACCTCCTTGTCACCTGCAGCACCACCTCCAGGTTGTTGGAAGTCCAACAAGCCGAAGTGGTTCTGATAGACAACAGAATTAGGGAGCTCTAGCTTTAACAAGCCTTAGCAGAGACATGATGAGCTGTAAATACAGTTTGAAAAAGCAACCCTAACAAACGTCAGTGTTGCTGCTGCATGTGAAACAACAAAGATTAGCTCTGAAGACAACTTAACTAACAAAAGCAACTACAGCCACTGGTAAAACTCATGCCTTCACAAAACAATCAGAATTTAAATTCCTGGCCTATACTGTTTGCATTATAGGGGTGAAAATAAATAAATCCGTAGTCACAAAGCATACACAGGGCACGAACACCAATAGAACCAAAACCACTCCAATATGATCGACATCTCAAGTTAGAAAATGTACTTTGTATCAGCAATGTTACCATTACCCCAGCCTCCCCCATCCACGGTTACTATGTTGCCTATTTAAAGCACAGAGCGGTATTTCTAGTTTGTTACAGTTCACTTGCTTTCAGAAAGTGTATATTTTACAAGAAACCTTATTAAAACAATACAAATAGTGACACTTCTGTTTCTCTGTTATCATGAAAAACAGCTAATTGCACAGCCTTGCTATTCAGGAATTTGTACTATGCTCATCTCTGCGAATCTTAACATTTCAGCGTCAAACACCACAGATTTGTAACCAGTAGCATGGCAATATGAAAAGAGCGAAGAATTAGCTCGGAGATATATTTTGACCCAAAAAATGTCAACCTCCTACTTTAACAACGCTCTACACTGAATGTATTGCTTTAATTTGTACTATTTTTGTGTGCATTACTTTAAAAAATGGGAAAATTCTCACAAAGAAAAAGATGATAGTATTTCTCAAAAAAAAAAAAAAAAAAAAAAAAAATCACCTCACATTAAGAATAGGGAAACTACTTTATGGAACTGAAGAGTGCCATGGAAGAATACATATTATCATCAGAGTTTACCGTCTATTAAATTAGCCTGAATTTAATGCAGGCACTGCAATAATAAGACAGCTTACCTACTCAGCTAACATGAGAATGATACCAACAGAATTTCCTAGACAACGTGGACACATACAATATATTGTAGAGGCTGTTTCACAGTGAGGTCACCTAGAACTGAAGCCTGATGAACTAATTTTGCTAGGAGATTTCAGCGCTCTAGTTTACAGAGGACTGTGTCACATGAGAACATCTCCTGGGAAACTTGGCCTTAGGAAAGAGAATGTCAGTAGGTGAAGATTGCTAAAGCTGTGCAACTCAAGGCAACACGCTGACAGCATAAACTGTTAGTGAAGCATACTTGGAACAATCCATATTAGGGAAAAAAAAAAGACCTAAAAAGAGTATGGCGTTGGCATACCAACATTGGCTTTTGTCAACTTTTAACATGCCAGCACATACCATAAAGGTGGGCTAACTACTAATGAGTAGTTTTAGAAACACCCAGGGCACTGGTGTTAAGCACTATGACTGGGACAACAAGAAGACTTTTAAGAATGGCTCCAGAAAGTCAGCATGCAAAAATGAAAGAAAAAAAAAAAGGGGTAGGGGCTGGGGAGGGAACGGGAGTGGGGAGCAAAAATAAGCAAGCAAACACACACACACACACACCAGCTCATTTCAGCTGTTAGAGGACACTTTTAAAAGTCATAGCAAAAAAAAAAAAAAAAAAAAAAAAAAGAAAGAAAGAAATTAGAAAAACTGTAGGACATACCTTAGGAAAAAACAGTCTGACAGAATCAGTAGGGGATGCCTGTAACTAATGAGAAAATGCAGGCGAGCTAGAGAGGCAGATCAGGTCAGACATGCCAGATATGATGGAAGAACTGTATGATGTGACAGTGGAGGCCCTGGAGACAACAGACAAAGACAGAAAAAAAGCAGAGAAAGAGACACAGCTCAAGAGATGGTGCTGAGAGAGAAAAGAGCAGGTTTTCTTGCAGAGACAGGGAGGGGGAAAAAAATCTGAGGACCCGAGGAGAGCCAATATATAAGAACCCAAAACTGTTTGCCAAGCCTATTTACACTGATTTAATCATGCAGAGTTGACAGATCTCAAACTAGGAGCATAGTGGGGAGGGAACACTGAAGATAAGAACAGGCAAGAAGACGGACGGTAGATTGCTTAAGTTTTTGAAAGCACTTTTGCTAAAGCAGTTTTAAAGAAAGGTGGCCACCATATGCAGCAGAGATCTTGTGAAGGATGAAAGGAAGAAAGAGAGAAGCTACAGATCATGCTGATGCCAAACAGACAATGAACATGGAGAAAGCAGCCTCTTTCTAGGAAAAGCTAGAGAAAACACTAAACCCAAAAGAGAGGGATAAGAAAGGCCACCCAAGAATATGAGGAATCAAAGTACTAAAGAACAGCAGATTAGAGGACAGAAAAGAGACTGTAGATCAGTGGTCAGAAGCAGAGAAATCCTACTTTATAAACCTGAAGGGCAAACAGGCAATACAAGACCAGGTGAGAAAAAAAAAGAAAAGAAAAGAAAGAAAAACAAAGACTGTACTACAAGGAAATGAAAGTAGCGTTAAGATTGTTCACAAAAAATCTCCGCCAAGTGTTAGAATGGTAATTAATTATAGAGTTATTTAAAACAAAATTAAAACGTATTGGTAATCCAATACAGTTAGAAGGCTGATCAACATTATCATCAGGACAAGGAGAGCAATATTTGGTTGAATCTCTACCTATTTATTTACTTTTCAGTGGGGAAGCCCCAAACATTCAGCTTGTCCCCTCGGCTTCAAACACAGTTTTCCTCGTGGACAGAAAAGCATGCCAGCAGAAATCAATTTAAACAGCACCAAGACGTAGACTAGAATAGGGGATGCAGATAGCACTGCTTCTCACTGCACTTTTCAGTACCGAACACGGTTGTTTAACCAGCACTGGGACGACCGGGCACAGAGCAGCACTCCTTACCACACCGCCTCCGAACCAAGGCCGCCCGGCTCACTCCTCGCACCGCCCCCCGCAGCTGCACTCTGCCCCCTCTCCTCACCCAGCAGCCATCGCCGCCATCTTTCAGATCCCTCCTTGCCTTCACGTCTTTCCGTATGGCTGGGCTAGCTCATCTTAGTGGTCTCTTCCAATTTTAGCGATTCTCTGATCTCGTTCTAGTGGCAGCTTTCTTTTGCACACGCGATTATTTTCAACGCCTCGTCTTGCTAGGTGCTTTCCTACAAAACGTCTCTTCAAGAACGAGAACCGCTCGTTAAAATACGTATTATGCCAAAATCGTTCATCAAATCCTCATCTGTCGTGTGAAACCAACGTAAGGTACGAGAGGACCGAGCGTCCGCCATCCCGCAGCAGCCTCTCCTCAACGTGAGGGAAGGCGCGAGGCCGCAGTAACGGCCGTTTCCTCCGCCCGCCCTTCAGGCGCCACAGCCGCGCGGGCGGCCCCGCTGCCGCTGGGAGCTCTGTAGGGCACGAGCGCTCCGCCGGCGCGAGCCGCTTCTCGCCTCCCCCAGCCGCGGCTATGGCGACGCCCGGCGCCCCGAGGGAGCTGGCTACAGGGGCCCGCCGTGCCTTCCTGCCCACCGCTCCTCAGGCCCACGCTCACCTCCTCTGTCAGAGCCAGGCATGCCCCGTCCGCCCAGGGAGAGCCGCGTGCCGCCTTCAGACTCGGCTGTGCCCACGCAGGGCTGCCAGAGGAGAAGAGCGCAGCGATCGCTCACCTGGATGCCAGTCGCAGAGCATCGGGAAGCGAGCTGAGGAAATGACTCCACAGGCACCTGTATCCCACCCGGCACGGAGCCTCAGGCTTGGGGGCCAGCAGCCTGTCACCCAGTAACCTTTCCTTTCGTGAGTTTGCCTTTGTCCCTTGGTTTCACATTTATTTCCCTCACGTGAAATGTCACACTTTCTATTAGTCTTAGCTCAGCATTAGAGCTCTATGGAATGCATTTTCCTTTCTGGACTTGTCCAACGTAAGCTGCTATTCTTCAGATCTCTTTTCCTTCCTCTGATCATTAAAAAGAAAACATCACAAGTAACCTAATATTTTTTGATCCATCCAAATCCTTAAAAGCTGTGGTAAATCCTCACATCATGGAAGAGGGTGAGAATTAGACCTCGAGTACCTCAAGAAATCAGATGTATGATTACATCCTTTGCAGTGCTGTGCTCCACATAAGCCTGTCAGGTCTGCATGCACTACTTCTGCCGACTTCAGTGGGAATTGCACATAGGAAACTAACAGAATAATCAGGCCCTGAAAATTTAAGCTTGTGTCCCCAAGCATAGCTACTGCATTTTTAACTGATTCAGCGTGAGATGCATCTGTGACCCTAGAGCAAAAGCAACAGCTGGGAGTATGTGCTGGCACCCAGAAAGCTAGTGCTGTCTTTCCACATGGGATACACACAGTCTGCAACCTGCCCTGCTCGTATTTAAAAAGCAAACTTAGATATAATATAAAGGAAGTGTGTTTCTGTTACCATGACATCGAGCAAGAAAATAAACATTTCTCTCCCTAGAAGATGCAATAAAAGGTAACAGAGCATTTTAGCCAGTCCAATGGCAGAAGTTAGAGCCATCATAGCAGAGTACAGAAGACAAATGAAAAGATTGGTTTTAATAGCTTGAAACGAAAGGAAAGTATTGAAATATTTTGCATACAGAAAAAGAGGAAAACTCTGGATACGTTTTTTTTTCTAACCATTAGGGAAGCACTACTTTTCATCTTTTATTTTTGAAAAGCTGCTTTTTTGTTGTTGTTGTTGTTTGTTTGTTTATTTTTTTTTTATTTTTTTAATTATTATTATTTTTTTTGCCAGAATTCTCTAACTAAAGGATGAAATTAGCTGTAAAACTCATTAGGTACTTCCTACAAATCTCTCAAGCAGACAGTAGATTATTCAAAAAAAAACCCCAAAAAAAAAACAGAAAAAAAACCCACAAAACAAACAAACAAACAAAAAACCCAAACAAATTAAACAGGAAAAAACAATTCAAATTAAAGCAAAGGGAGTTTATTCATTATCAATAAGATCTTTTTTTCCTGAAAAAGATATGTATCCAAGTATTTCATACCTGGTATTGGTTCATTTTCCCAGTTTCTCAAATTCAATTTGATTAGACACTCAGGAAAGTAAGATGTTTTGCAGATAATCTAATCAGAAATCAGATATTTAAAAGTAAACACACAATTAGTATTATACAATCACACAGAAGTTGGCGAAAATAAAATACAACTAATTATCACAAGAAGAGACAAAATAATAAAAGTAATTCAGATGCACACTGTAAATGAAGTTTCCAGGATTCATACATCATGGTCTCTTTTGTTAAAGCAGATGAGGTAGTCATTGATTTGATATTCAAATTCCAGTCTTTATTTCTTTTCTTTAAGACCTCTTTGTAACACCTGGTCAGATAACTTCCAGAGATAATTCTGTAGAAATCAATATAGGAGTTACACTGAGTTCTGAGCTCAAAAACGTTGCTGAATTTACATATCTCTCTCCTCTGGACAGCAAAGAAGCCCTAATTCAATTTGTGTAACTTTGATGATCTGACCTTGCACTGGCACATTACTCAAATCATATAGGAAATCCAATTTTATATTATTTCAACTTTGGTCTGAAATAACTTGTCTTTCAAAAAAATATGTGAGAAGTTCTTTCTTTCAGTAGGGTACACCAGTAGAATTCATATACTTACATGTTCATTGTGTCTGAGTGCTTCTTTGCCCTCATTTTACAAAATAGCAAACCTGCCTAGTGCATACAGAAGTCTCACACATTATTTTCTGCAAGTCTGTTTCCAGCTCAATTCTAGGAAGTAAAAAATCTTGACCACCCAACTCAATATTAATTGTTTATTTTGTAAAGTTGTCCATTTTAGAGCTGAATTAGTGAAATGCAACTTAACCAGAGGCTCGGACTGGGCTGCCATTTTGACATTCTCATCAGGGAAATGATGCTGTAAACACCCATACTTGATTCACATGCATGGTCTCTTGGTTGCCTACAGTAATGCCCATCTGTTCCGATGGCATTATGCCCACTCAAGTTGCTCAAGGGAATACATGCTGGGCAGTGATTGGCTTAGGTAAGTATTTTTCAAACTGGGTCGGTGTCGACCTCCTTTTGGGAAGGCCCAAGGGGAAAAGAAAACAAAAAGAATTTTCATTTTTTATTTTAATGGATTATTTTCATTTAACATTCAGCAAAAACACCACCGTCTATAAAACATTCAGTAGATTGTTTTACTGATTTCTTGGTACCCATGACCCCAGCAAGGAAAAATAAATTAAACTGTATTCTCATTTTTTAAATAAATGAGTTCAACCTGTTATAAAGTCACAGCCCATGTAACATTAAGACCACCTCATTTACAGAAAAGAAACCTGTCTCAGCAGGCATTATCACATTCTGACAATTGAACTGATTTATTTTTTGTTGGTGAACATTGGTCAACACTCGAATGTCTGAATTCGTGGGTATTCGTGACTAGAGTTCTGTGGGGAGAGCACTGGGCAATATTGTGTCCCAAATATTAGTCAGATCAAATATCCGTTTGATATTACCATACAACAACATAATTCCAAGATAAAAGCCAAGCACGCACACAGATACAGATGCTCGATGTGCAGTATCACTAAAGGATTATTGGAATAATTTTCAAATATAGCCTTTCACTTCCCCAAAGCCAAAGAACTTTAGCAAAGTGCATTGCACAGTGAAGTCATTGTCTGCAACACTGCTTTTTCAAACAAAAGGGGGGGCACGCGCCTCTTTCTCCCTGCAAATAAACCATGTTTTCTTTCTTTTTTTATTTTAATAGAAAGCTACCATTATTATGAAAAGAAAAAAAAAAAAAAAAAAAGATGAAAATAACCCCACTCCTTTTCATTTGGGAGACAAAAGCCTTTCAGTGCTGCGTCCATGCGCTCAGACTACTATTTTGACACTGTGTCAAGATGCTCCCGCTCTGCTCCAGGTCTCAGATCACAGTTGGAGAGTCTTGATACAGTGTTGAATCAGTAGTGTCAGCAAGTCTCAGAGCAGAGTCAAAGAGCTCAATGTAGCCTCAGAGCAGGTACAGTCAAGAGAGACCTTTCCCCTAAAGTGAAGCAGGGAGAGGGCTGGGGGCAGGAGGGTATTCTGATTTTCTTAATTGTTTGTTTTAATGCGTTTTGACCCAGCTGCACCAGACTCATAATTTTAATTACTAGTCCTTCTTGCACAGAGGTATCAGAACTAGCTCTCTCCCAGCCCTGAAGAGCTGCTAAAAACCAGCATGGAATAATGTTAATATTTTCTTGAAAGAGCAAAAGCAAGCCTAGGCAGAGTGACTGAGGAACTGCACTTTGTCTGAGCAGCTGGCACTGCAGCTAACAAGGCAAACTTTGGCAGCACCACGTTCTGCTGCACCTCCCTGGAGAAAACCCTGAGGAGTCTGTGCCCTGGGACCCTGCTTACCTGCTGGTGTGTGACCTAAGCCCAGTAGGCAGCATCAGTGGATCTGTGGTGTACTCCTTTGTGCCTGCTTCCAACACCTGCAGGTCACGGCCCCGGGGCCCCAGCACCGACAGGAACCTTTCGCAGTTTCACCAGGGCCACAGTTTGCCTTGAAGCAGAGCAGAGTGACACATCTGCTCTTATAGCACAGCAATGCTGTGCACAGTCAGCACAGCGCAAGCGCTGTGGTCGTGCCAACACTTGGTGAGGTGGTCAGCAAGGATCTCACACAGTACTGCACACTGACAGGGTGAGGACAGGGACACGTGGACAGGCACTGTCTTGAGGTGGAAGTCTAGAGATACAGCAGTGGGAATCTTGATGCAATGAGGGACATCAGTTTGGTAAGGAGGCTGAAGAGGCCTGCTAGATTATAAGACAATTTTGTAGAGAAATACTAATGAAAATAAAATCAAAGTACATTAAGGACTGAATATGAGAACTGCTCCTGGGCACGGATGCCATGACTTCAAGCAGTGCTGCCAGAATACCCATCTCTGGGAGGACTGAGGTGTGTGTAACAGCAGCAGCCTGCAAGGGACTGAATGCCAAGCACATCCCGTTGGGTTTTGGGCAAGAAGGATGTCAGTGCCTAAGAAGACATTTGAGGAATGAGAAACAATCAGGGTTTCAAACAAAAAATAACCCCTCTTAAGAGGCAAGATTAGAAAACCTAAATAGGTCAAAGTCATTTTTTCTGTAGCTTCACATCCGAATATGTAATCCAGTCTTTTTTTTTCATGCTAACACCAGGGGGAAAAGAGATCAATGTACACAATTTAGGTTAAATGACCTAAATGACCACTGCATGGCGGGATGCATGCCTCCTGTTCACAGTTGAAATTTATCTCCGATGTAAATGCAGTGGTTTCACCAGACTTTTAGCAAGGATACATTTACTTATTCCTGTGGTCAATCATCTCCTCAGTAACTCATTGCTTATGCAGATGCAAGCCACCCACACACAAAGACATTTTTAATTTCTCATTAATTACTTCTTCCTCCTAATTATTGTGCTACTTATGTAATATATTATTAAGGCTGTTGAAATATGCAAATAACAAAAAACAAAAACTCAGAAACAAAAAATACTCAAGATTGCAGGCATTAACACAATTCTAAATCCATGGGTGTCAAATTCTGCTTTTGAAAGCTGTGTAACAAAAAGTACAGACTGTGAGTTGGGTGAGAAACAGCAAAATGAGAGCAGGGCACAGGGACATATCTCCCTATAGAAAGCTGAGGCCCAGCCAATGTCTGCTGAGCTCTCTAAGATTCTTGGAGATATTAAGTTAGAAAGTGTTTCTGTTTAAAACAAACAAAACTCACTGGCTTTTTGGGTGACTTTCTTGCAGGCACTTTCCCAGCTAGCAGAAGATGAGGCTTTCCTTTCTCACGGGCTGCAGAGGAGCACCCTGACTTGCCACAGCCATTTGCCTGCACTCATCACAAGATCTGCCCCACCGCTCTCCCAAGTGTTTCTGGAGGTGAGAAATTAAAAACTGTACAACCCAGGTGCAAATTAAGACCTGTACTGGTAGAAGCCTGGTGGAAATCTCAGAACAGAATGAATTATGTATTTGAACACTTAAGATTTCCTTGCCTTCATTGCAGCATGGGGTCTGAACTCTGCTTTCTTCCCTGCACTTTATTACATGGTTAGAAGTCCCGCAGTAGGAAACTTGCGGTTTGAATTTTGAAGCACCTATAGTGTCATACTTTTTATTTTAATATTTGTCACCAACAGTGCCGACAGATAAAAAGTGCTGGCTCCCCACAGCATGAGATGTGGGATTTTCAATAGAGCTACACAATTGCTTTTGCTAAGTGCTTGCCGGGCTCACAATGCCAAATCCCTCAAATTGCTGCGTTCAGGCCACTTTGTGGTGCTGTATGTACCAAGGCAAGTGGTATTTAAAAAGTTGGTTGCTTACAGGAGAGACATATGCCTAAACAGCTGAACTATTTTTCCCATGCTAAGCACTTGTCC